ACTTGGCTCTGAGGCACGGCAGCTCCGGCCGCGGAGCTGAGTGGGCCTGAGCTGGGCCAGGTCAGTGTAGCCGTTGCCCTGCACAGGACCCTGCATGAGGGGAAAGCAGGAGGCTCAGAGAGGTGAGCCTGCTTGCCTGGAGCCACACAGCTTGGAGTGGCAAGCTGGCCTTGCAGCCCGTGTCTCGGGCTGCCCTCGCCTCTCTGCCCCCTGGTAGGGATTTCTCCACCAAGGACAAGTGAGCAAGGTTCTCTGACCGTGTCGCCGGGGTCCTGACCCAGCCAGGACGATTGGCATCAGGGAATGACACCCCAGCTGCCACCTGGAGGGTGAAGAGGGGCAGGCAGGGCCCTGAGGGTAAACCCAAGACCACAGTGGGAAGGTCCTGAGGGGACAAGGCACAGGCACAGGTCATCTGTGAGGACTGGGGCAGCTGAGGTCCGCAGGGGCTGCCAGAAAGAAGGGTTTAAGCCTTACCTTGGGGCCAAACAGGAAACTTCGGGAAGCTTGGAGCGGCCAACTCGGAGCTCCCATCCAAGGCAGCTGAAAATATGCCTTTCCCCAAACTCAGAATTCTGATTCTTAAGCCTCTATGCTCCTGGGGGCAGAGAACACAGGATGTGAAAACACAAAACGGGGAACACGTAACAGGTTCCTAAGGAGATGGCGAAGTATGCACACAGTAGGTCCCACAAGCTCTGTGGAACACAGGACCAGGGCTGGGCATTTGGCCAGATAAGATGCCCTCCTCAGAGCTGGTGTTGTGGTACAGAGGGAAAATCTCCTACCGCAGAGCCGGCATCCCATATGGGCACCGGTTCAAGTCCCCGCTGTCCCGCTCCCAACCCAGCTCCCTGCGAATGCACCTGGGAAGCAGCAAAGGCTGATCTAAATACTCGGGTCCCTGCCACCCACGTGGGACATCCAGACGGAGTTCCAGGCTTCTGATTTTCACCTGGCCAATTGTGGAATGAACCAGCAGACAGAAGAGCTATCTCTCTTGGTCTCTGATTTTTCTCTTTAATTCTGCCTGGGTTCAAGGCGCTGCTACTGCTAAGCCCCAGCTCCAGCTCCCTGCTGCTACGCCACGTGGAAAGCAGCAGACTACGGGCCTGGCACCTGCGCAGCAGACCTTGGTGGAGATCTAGCTGCAGGCTGTGGCCAGCCTTGTTCTGGTTTCACAAGCATTTGGAAAGTGAAGCCATGTGTGGGCGTGTTCTTTTTCACATCCTCTCCCTCTCTGACTTCCATCTCCAGCATCTCCAGTACCGGGAGAGGGAAAGAAAAAGACAGCTGAGCCAACAGCCAGTTGCAAAAGGAATGTGTGCAACCCTGTGCTGATTGGAGAGCATCTAAACTCTCACGTGTGTCCTCTCCAGTGAGCTCAGGATGCTGGCTGGGTGGGGGCGCAGCCAGGGTGTCCTGAGGACAGGGCCTCAGTGGGGGAAGGATGGATGGTGGGCACGCTTGCACAACCTAGCCATTGCACTCACTGTGCTGAACACTCGTGGCGGTTACCACGGTGGGGCCGGCATCACAGCATGTAGCAGTCTAAGCATCTGCCTGCAGCACCAGCATCTCATAGGGGCGTCGGTTCGAGTCCCGGCTGCTCCACTCCCCATCCAGCTCCCTGCCTGGGGCTTGGGAAAGCAGTGGAGGACGGCCCAAAGCTCCGTGTGGGAGACCCGGAGGAAGCTCCTGGCTTCGGATTGGCTTAGCTCTGGCCATTGCAGCCGCTTGGGGAGTGAATCATCAAACGGAAGAGCTTCCTCTCTTTCTCTCCTCCTCTCTGTAAATTCGCCATTCCAATAAAAATAAAATAAATATTTTAAAAAGATAAATCTTAAAACAGAAATTACCTGCTGGCGTGGAAGTAGAGCAGATTAAGCTACGGCCTGTCACACAGGCATCCCCTATGAGCACTGGTTCAAGTTCGAGTCCCAGCTGCTCCACTTTCCACCCAGCTCCCAGCCACTAAGCTGGAAGCCCGAGGCAGCCCCAGCCATTGCAGCCATTTCAATAGCAGATGCGTGGAGGGAAGATCTCTCTTCCTTCTCTCTCTGTCAGTCTGTTAGAAGATGGCAAGCATTCCTCCACGGAGGAGAATGGGTCTTGGATTTCTCTAACTGGACAGCCCTGGACTCTGCCCAGATAGGGATGTCTCAGTGGCCAACAGCCGATCTCACAGCGCAGCTGGGTGGGTTATAATGAAAAGAGGCTTGTTTGGCTCACGGATTTAGAGGGTCAAGGTTGAGATCGGTTGAGGGTGTGGGGAACGTGTGTGCTGAAATCACACAGCCATGGAGCATGTGAGCCTGACGTGTGCCCCTGGGAGCACCTGCAAGTCCCCTCCTCCCACACTGGCTGCCCTGCCCCGCCCCCAGCTCAGGGAACAGTGGGTGTCAGTAATCGCCAGGGGAAGCAGGAGGGGTGTGATTAATTATGGCTGCTGAATATGCAAATCATCTGGGGGTTTTCCCAGCAGCCGCCTGGGCGCTGGCAATGGTGCTAAACAAACAGAGCCCAGAATTCCCTTCTTACACCTTTGTCAATTAACCTTTCATGTACGGGCTCGCATTTCTCACTCGTCTGTGAGTGAGCTTTTGGCTAATGAGAGGGTCTTCAAGTATACACAAATCGCCCTTCCCCCCACCACCACCACAGCTCTGTGCCAAAACGAGCCAGGTGCACTGGCATTCAAACCCTGGGCAGCCACGCTGCCTCTCGGAGGCACAACGATGAGCTGGGGCAGTGGAGAGAAGTGAGAGGAGGGGCGGCTTCTGCCAGTTGTGCTCCCCAGGATCGGAGTGTCTGGGTTCGAGGCTTGATTCCACTGCACCTCTCCTTTCTGCTGATATGTGGGAGGCAGTGATGACCGGCATTGGGGTCCCTGTCACCCAGGAGGGAGACCCAAGTGGAGTTTCTACTTCCTGGTTTTGGCCTCAGCCAGCTCCAGCTGTGCCAAGCATGTGGGAAAGCAACCACAAATGGAGGATCTCTCCCTTTCTCTCTAGCTTTCCAAAAAATAAATATTTGAAATGTTCATGGGTCCCCCTGATGTAGGCGAGTGCCAAGTGCGTGTTGGGCAGCGCTGGGCAAGGGCTCAGCACCCGCTGGTTTGTGGGCGGGCAGAATAAACTGCTCAACTCCCCCAGCGAAGCTGGACAGCAGATTTCTGGGCCAACGGAGACTTGGAGGTAAACCATGATGGCCAATGGGCCTTGGAAGCATTTCCTCATCCTTTTTTTCCCCCCAAAATTTATTTATTTTTATTGGAAAGGCAGATATACAAAGAGGAGGAGAGATAGAGAGGAAGATCTTCCATCTGATGGTTCACTCCTCAAGTGGCCCCAACGGCCAGAGCTGAGCCGACCCGAAGCTTCTTCCGGGTCTCCCACGCGGGTGCAGGTCCCAAGGCTGTGGGCCGTCCTCCACTGCTTTCCCAGGCCACAGGCAGGGAGCTGGGTGGGAAGTGGGACAGCCCACCCAAACCTACGCTCATGGGGGATGCCAACACATGCAGGTGGAGGGTCAGCCTGTGAGCCAGCACAGCAACCCCAGGCAGGGAACCTTCATGGATAATTTCAACTCTTCCTCTAGGCCCTTGGGTTTGTGAGGATGGTGATACCCTCCAGTAAATAGCAGCATAATTCAATTCCCCAGACACACCTAACCCGTTAAGACAGTGGCAGCAGGCACTTCGTGAGCAGCAAGAGCCAGATCTTAAGAAACACAGGGTGGGGCCCGGCGCGGTGGCGCAGTGGTTAAGGTACTCGCCTTGCACGCCCGGGATCCCATATGGGCGCCAGTTCTAATCCCGGCAGCCCCGCTTCCCATCCAGCTCCCTGCTTGTGGCCCGGGAAGGCAGTCAAGGACGGCCCAAAGCTTTGGGACCCTGCACCCGTGTGGGAGACCCGGATCGGCATAGCATCGACCGTTGCACTCACTTGGGGAGTGAATCATCGGACGGAAGATCTTCCTCTCTGTCTCTCCTCTCTGTATATCCGCCTTTCCAATAAAAAAAAATACATCTTTAAAAAAATAAAAAAAAGAAAAGAAAAGAAAAAAGAAACACAGGGTGGGCACTGGACGAGACAGAAACAAAACCACAGTTCACCGGTTTATTCTCAGATTTGAGATGCCAGTTGTGCCCTGTGGCCCGAGAGTTGAGGGCCAGAATCTCTCTCATCATATCCCAGCCTTCCCGATGGAGGAAGCAGATTAAATACACAGCGGGGGAGGGAGGTGATTTTCCCTTTTAATAGAGATCCAGGTATAAATAGGGCAGCACCATGAGGATCCTGATTCACCCCCACCATGTAGTCCCCACACCGCCTGGCATGGCAAGGTGACCTCGGGGTGACGGGAGATTGGGAAGGGGAGCAGAGGGAACACGTAGCTTGGCCAAGGGAAGGTCCCCTTCACTCCCTGGTCTGACGTCAGCCCCTTCATCGTGACCCCACCTGGGAACAAGAAGGAGCGAAGGGCTCCCAGCCTTGGATGGGGGAAATCCAGTGCTTAACTCCGGGGAAAGGCAGCACCAAAGGGCGTGGGGGCGTGGCGGAGCAGTGGCTTTGGTCTGCTGTGAGTCAGCAAGTGGTTGTACGGGGTTGGGGTTGGGGGCGTCTTAGGGCTGGGAACTAAAGGTTGGGTGGCGATGGGGAAGATAGCCAGGCTACAGTTTGAGCACCTGTGGTCAGGTGGGAGAGGTTGGAGCACCTGTGGCCGGGAGAAGCCAGGGGAGGCTGGAGCACCTGTGATGGGGGTCAAGGCAGGGGATACTGGAGCACCTGTGGTCAAGTGGTGGAGGCTGGACCTTCAAGCCATGGCATCTCACCCTCATTCTCTTGGAAGCAAGAAGGAATACTGTTGTGACCACAGGGGGCCAAGTCCCATCTCCTGGCTCCGGAGCCCTCCCAGGAGACGATAAATACGACAGCTTCCCAGCCTCAGCACCGGTCATGTCCCGCATTGGGCTTCTCTCAGAGCCCCTCCCACCTTCAGCTGCTAAAGCAGACGGGGCCCAGTTCAAATCCAAACTTCTGGTTCGTCTGGCCAAAGTCCACAGCTGCCACATCCCACAGGGGCAGAAAGCCCACTCGAGAAGAGCTGAGCTCCAACAGGGTCTTCGCCTGGCCCTTCCGGAGCTGAACCACAAGAAGACAGGGACGGGAGTGAGCAAGGTGGCCTTGCCTCCACGCTCCCGGCCAGCCCCTGCCACACCTCCTTACCCGGCAGCCATCATAAGGGACATTGATGGTGGCCGCTGCTGTCTGGTTGAAGGACAACTCCTCTCCGTTGGTCCCGAGGAAGCGGACGGATCGGCTGTGGTCGCCAGCGGCCTCATCCAGCCAGGCAGCCGAGTTCTGGCAGGTGTAGGTGAAGGTCTGGCGGGCAGTGGCGCTCAGCAATTTCAGGAAGGTCAATTGTACCACGTTCACTGGGGCCCCGTCAGCGTCCACATAGGAGAACTGGGTGAGGACGGAGCAAGTCAGGGTGGCAGGTTGTCCCACGGGCACTCCCTCGCGTCCCTGACTGACCACCTAGAGATCTAGGTCAGACTCCTAAGACCATCCTCACAACCCCCCACGCAGTATGTCCCCCAGCCTGGCTATCTCAGCTCTTGCCCCACACCCTCAGCTTCCACACCCAGGATTTTATCCTCTCTGCCCAGAGCGTTGACGCTGCAGACTCACCTGCAAGCACTACCCTTGGAATGGCCGACCTCCACTCTCTCCAACCTGGCAGCCTCGTCTCCCCGGCTACCACCCTGGCATCCCCGCGCCCCAACACCCGGGTTCCACTGGTTTCCCTGCCCAGCCCAGCTGGACCCCGAGGAAGGGACCCACCTTCTTGCCTCTGCGGAAGGTGCTGTACCAGCCTCCAGGCTTCTCCTTGGACCAAGAGGCCAGTTTCACCTGGAGAGAGAGGGGGCAGTGTGGGCGCTCACCCATCCATACCTGTCTGCATTTCGCCTCCTGTTGACCAGGGGTATCTCAGGATGTTGCCCAGTCTTGGGGGTGGGATCAGCTGGGACTCCACCCCTGCAGAAGCTCTCAACCAATGACTGATGGAAGTGGATCTGCAACTGTCTCAGCTTCTGTCACTCAGGTGCCCTGGGCTACCTGGTCCCCTCTCCTGGGGCTCTCCATTGAGACTGTGCCCCAGGTACCCAGCAGGACCCCTCCCTGACTGCCTCCCCAGGCTCTCTGATTTACTCTCTGCTTTTCTGGTGAGGCTTGGATCAGCTCCTAAAGAAAGACTGTGGGCCTGGCATGGTGGCCTAGCAGCTAAAATCCTTACCTTGCATGCACTGGGATCCCATATGGGCACTAATTTGTGTCCTGGTGGCCCCGCTTCCCATCCTGCTTGTGTCCTGCTCCCTGCCTGTGGCCTGGGAAAGCAGTGAAGGACGGCCCAAAGACTTGGGACCTGCACCCACATGGAAAACCCGAAGAGGCTGGAGCTGAGCTTGCAGCTGTTTGGGGAGCGAGTCAGCAGACAGAAGTTCTTCCTTTCTGTCTTTCCTTCTCTCTGTATACCTGACTTTTTAATAAAAAAAAGAAAAAAAAAACCTCAAAAAAAATAGTGTGATGTGTAACCGGGGCATAGGTTCGGTGACTAAATGCTTGCCTTAACTGCGCCGGGATCCCGTGTGGGCACCGGTTCATGTCCTGGCTGCTCCACTTCCCATCCAGCTCCCTGCTGTGGCCTGGGAAAGCAGTGGAGGATGGCCCAAAGCCTGGGGACCCTGCACCCGTGTGGGAGACCTGAAAGAAACTCTTGGCTTCTGGCTTCGGGTCGGTTCAGCTCTGGCCATTGCAGCCGCTTAGGAAGTGAACCAGTGGATGGAAGACCTTTCTCTCTTGCTTTCTCTCTTTCTCTCTATAAATCTTACTTTCCAATAAAAACAGATCTTTTTTTAAGTAGGCACTTGGTGCTTGCTTCGGCAGCACATACATCAAGTGGGCACGTTACCTAGCAGTTAGGATGTCCACAACCCACACTGGCATGCCTGGGTTCGATTCCAGGCTCTGACCTGACGTGGCTTCCTGCGAGGCAGCAGTGAGGGCTCAAGGGCCCCTGCCTCGCTCGTGGGAGGCCCGCTGCTGGCTCCCACCTTAGGCTTGGCCGGAACGTTGCTGTCAGGGAGTGGGCCGATACATGGAGGAACACTTGCCATCTCTCTGTTGCCCTGTCTTTGTCTTTCTGCCTCTCAGATAAGTGAAATAGACAACCCAGGCTGTTTTCTGTCTGATAATCTGCTCTAGCCCCAGACAGCACTAGGCATACAGCCGGCCCAGGAAGAGTTCCATGAAGGCAGGATCGGCCCCCACATCCTGTGGGAGGGCAGCAGCCAGGTGGATCGCCACCACTCACCATCTCAAACTTCTTGTCTGGATTCAGGCAGGTCTCGCCTCCCGCCGTGAAGTTGCAGAACACCCTGAGAGCGTCCCGCACGCTGCCCTGGTTGGGGTCAATCCAGTAGTCCCCTGTCACAGAGCCACACGGAGCAGGTGGACAGGTGAACGGGAGGTAATGGCCTCGGCTGCACCCCACCCTCACGCCTGCCCTGGACCTCACCATCAGGCAGGTGTGGGTGGTGGCGGTGTAGTTCATGGCACATGAGGCCGGGGTGCTCAGCTGTGCCGGGAGGGTGCCGCAGCTGTTCCAGCTCCAAGCTGAGGGAAGTGAGAGATGCCAGCACCTCCTCCAGACCGCCTTCCAGGGCCTCTGGCTTCTCTGGGACAGAACGGCGCCGGCGCAGCCCGTGCACCTCCGCAGGGGGACCCTGCCCATAAGGGTGGGCAAGAAGGAGAGGAGAGAAAGCAAAGAAAGAGGTGGGCGAGAGAGACAGGGGTGAGGGCGAGCAGGCAGGTGAGAGGAAGATGCGGAGATGGTGAGACGGAGAAGGCGATGGAGAAGGAAGAAGAGAAAGAGTAAACAGGGGAACAGAGTTGGGCAAAGGCCCCAAGAGATGAGACAGAGCCAGAAGCAACAAAACCCTCAAGGACAGCCTCCCTCCAGGCCCCTCCCCTCCCGGAGCTCTCCAGGGGTGCTCAGCCCACCTGCACCTGGCCCCCTGAGAGCCCCTCTTGGGACACCCCCACCCCGAGGCCACAGCACGAGACATAGACCCTGTCCTCCACACCCACCTCCCCACCCAGGCCCTGGTGTTTGCCCTGGGGAACTCACCGGAGGGCCGGGGGGTCCTGCAGGTCCAGGGTCTCCTCGGGGACCCGGGGATCCCTAGGGAGAGAGGTCACTTGGGGGTGGACGCTGTCTATGGCAACCCCTTCCCATCAGCACACACACACACACACACGGCCAGTGCTGAACGTGAAGCTAGAGAGGCAGCTTTCCATGGCCTAAAGGAACACGTGTGAAATGGGCAACTTGCCCTCCCGGGCACAGCATCACTGACCACAGGGCTGCCTCTCTTCGGAGCTGCCTCCTACCACAGATAGCACTGCACAATGGATGAGACGCAACAGCAGGTGTTGAGCAGAAGGCACAAAGACGTGAAGAGAGGTGTGCCAAAGCATCAGGGGCGGCCGAAGGAGAGGTGGGTGAGAAGCCGAGGATGCAACATGTACTCACCAGGGACCCCTTGGAACCCTTCTGTCCCAGAGGGCCCTGTGGGATAGAGACAGGGAGAGCTGGGGTCCTGGCCTGGCCCTCCACTGTGGCCCCATGCCCACAACCCCTCCACACTCACCACCACGCCTGGCAGCCCAGGGTGACCCACAGCACCAGTGAGACCAGGAGGGCCCTGGAGAAGGGACAGCAGGGTCACTACTCGTAGGGAAAGTTCCCAAACCCCACACAAGCCTCCAGTTCCCCGCTCCCCACAGACAACCCCTCTCCAAGCCCCAGACAGAGCCCCCATCACCCCGGAGCCAGGTTCCCAGACTGCCTCCCACCTGCTCCTTGGAAACACACAGCCCGCCCCCTCAGAGCACGACACACACTTACAGGTTCTCCCTTGGGGCCAGGGGGACCTTGCACACCTGGCAAGCCCTGGTCCCCCTTCTCTCCGGCCTCCCCAGGAGGACCAACGAGGCCAATCAGTCCAATGTGACCCTGGAGCACAGAGAGACACACGGAGGGGCGAGGTGGGGGTCTGGGAGCCTCAGGGGACACCCCAGTGTCTGGCCAGGGAGAGAGGGAAGGACGGGACGCCTGGCAGGGAAATCATGGGATGGGAAGACCTTACCTTCTCCCCTTTGGGACCAGCATCTCCCTTCAGCCCTGGGAGGCCAGAGGGGCCCTGGCAGGAGAGCAAGGGCCCGTCAGCTAGTCTCACCGGAGAAATCTCTCAACTTGCATGCGTGTGCTAGGGGCTGCTCAGGGGGAATGCTGCCCAGATCCCACACGGGAATGATGGGGCTGGCCAAAACGCAGAAGGGATGGCAGAGACAAGGAGTGGTCAGTGGCCAGGATCTGTGAGTGGGTTGATGTGTGTGTGGTCAGTGTAGACCAGTAAGATGGAGGGATGAGTGGCGAGAAGAGAGGGGTCAGCCCACACCATCAGCGCCAGTGGACACTGTGTGTTGTCTGGGTGACCTGGCGACTCCTTGGAGCTGCGACCCCAGGGACAAAGGAGTCTCTTACCAGGGGGCCAGGGGGGCCCGTCTGTCCAGGGGCTCCCAGAAGGCCAGGCTCACCCTGAGGATAACACAGAGAGTGAAGGCAGACCCCAGCGCAGACACCCCCACCACCCACCAGGGCCAGCTCCCCCCCTCTGAGGGACAAGGAGGGACTGCCAGTGGGCCCACCCCTGATGCACCTCGACCCTGTCCCACTCACCACAGGTCCTGGTATCCCTCGAAGACCCTCAGGCCCGACTCGCCCAGGGGGCCCTTGAGCCCCCAGGGGCCCCGTCCTCCCTGGAGGCCCGTCAGGACCTGGCTCCCCCTAAAATGGACAGTCAAGTGGGGGGCAAGCAGAGCCAGAGGGTGCTGGCCTCAGAGACCCCACCAGAAGGTAGCAGGTGCGTGCAGTGGCTGCCAGTCCCGACCTCTCCTGCAGGCCAGGGGCTCAACACGGGGATCCCCTCCCTCCCCACGGTTACACACCGACCTTAGCACCTTTCTCCCCTTCTCTGCCTTCTGGACCCATACGGCCAGGCGGACCCTGCGGAGGAAATGGGGTGTGAGGAGCCGCTGCAGGGGCAGGTGGGGGCTTGGGGTGGGGCACCAAGGAGGGAGTCGTTAACTCACCCTCTTGCCAGGGGGCCCACGGGCACCAGGTTCCCCAGAAGCGCCAGGCGGCCCCTGTGGAGGAGAGAACAGAACCAGCATCAGACAGCCTGGCTCAGACACACCTGGCACCCGCGACAGGGAAACGCGACAGGCAAGCCCACAAGCCCACCTCTCTGCTCCCCTCTTCACCCACCGGCCAGGCCCACCCCTCACCCAGAACCACACCCTCTGTGTCCCAACTCACCGGAGCTCCGACATCACCAGGGTCTCCCTTCTCGCCTGGGGTTCCGTCCACACCCTATGGAGAAGGGAGACCAAGTGGGATGGGGCAAATTCGGGACCCCAGTATTCTGGGCTCGGGGGAGGGACAGAGGCTTGGGAGTCTACCTACCGAAACTCCAGGGTCTCCTGGGGGTCCCAGGTCTCCGGGGAGCCCTACGGGGCCCTGGAACGTAAAGTGACCCAAATTCATACCTCTGGATTCCTGCAGTTAGGCGTTCATCGGGCGGATAGTGTTCCAGCTCTGGCTGCTGGTAACACATTGGCGAGCGAGACACAGAGTCCCCTGCCTGCTGGAGCAGGCGCCCTGGAGGTCAGCGGGTGCCGGAGCAGGCGCCCTGGGGGTCAGCGGGTGCCGGAGCAGGCGCCCTGGGGGTCAGTGGGTGCCGGAGCAGGCGCCCTGGGGGTCAGCGGGTGCCGGAGCAGGCGCTCTGGGGGTCAGTGGGTGCCGGAGCAGGCGCCCTGGGGGTTAGTGGGTGCTGGAGCAGGAACCCTGGACGTCAGTGGGTGCTGGCAGAACGCTGGACGTCAGTGGGTGCTGGAGTAGGCACCCTGGGGGTCAGTGGGTGCTGGAGCAGGCACCCTGGGGGTCAGTGGGTGCTGGAGCAGGCACCCTGGGGGTTAGTGGGTGCCGCAGCAGGTGCTCTGGGGGTCAGTGGGTGCCAGAGCAGGAACCCTGGGCGTTAGTGGGTGCTGGAGCAGGCGCCCTTGGGTTAGTGGGTGCCCGAGCAGGCGCCCTGGGGTTAGTGGTGCCGGCAGTGCTGAGCTGTGAGCTTCCCATGCCTCATTTCCTCTGCCTTCTAGCTCAGGATTCAGAACTGACCCAAGTCTGAGCTTCCTTTCAACATGGCCAGGATGAATCCCCGTGAAATCAACTCTTCTTTTTTAGTGTTAGTTATTTTTATTACAAAGTCAGATATACAGAGAGGAGAGACAGAGAGGAAGATCAGTGAAATCAACTCTTCCATGCCGTATTTTTTATTTTTCATTCATTCATTGCATTCATTCATTGCATGCATCTATGTATTCATTCATTCAGCCATGCCTGGGTTGCTCACAGGAGCGTGAAGGCAGGTTCAATGCGTGTCTGCACCCCCAGCTCTGCCTCCATGCCCCCCTACACTCACCATGTCTCCTTTGGCCCCGTCCTCTCCAGGAGGGCCCTTCTTGCCAGGTGGTCCAGCAGCTCCAGAGGGGCCTGTGTCTCCCTTTTCACCAACGTCTCCCTTGGGCCCCTTTGGAGAGGCAGAAGTCAAGGGTCAGCACACATGGATGCAGACAACATGGTGGTGTGTTGCTTTTTTGGGATCGGGGGTCATAGGAGGCCTGGCTGAGGTCAGAGGTCAGAGGTCTGGATGGTCCAGTCACCCACTGGTCACGGCAAGTTTGGTTGAGCCGTTAGAGTGCACAGAGTGGTCTTCTGTGGGCAGTCCATCTTACAGGCCAGGGTCAGGATTTGGATCTGAGGCCCCAAAACCACCACCCTAGGCCCTGGGACCAGTGGATGACTTAGGACCGACCGTGTACAGGGGCCCAAGGTCAGACGTTCCCTGAGTCAGGGGCAAAGCTCACATCTTGGCACCATCACTCACCGGGATCCCTGGGGTTCCTGCGGGCCCTGGATCTCCAGCAGCCCCAGGCTCACCCTGGAAGAGACAAAAGGCCAGTGAAGAGAAAACCTCTTCTGGCAGGTTCCCCACCTCCCCGTAAAGCTCTCCTCTCCCTCTCTCACCTTCTCACCCACGGCTCCAGGCTGACCAACTCCTCCAGGCAGCCCTGGGGGGCCCTGGAGGGACCAGGGAGGATTAGATGCGTGACCAGAGTCCCTGGAGCTCCTTGGGAACCGGGTGTCCCCACCTCACAGCCGTCCCCACCTCACGGCCGTCCCCAGAGTTCTCACCTCTGCTCCGCTGGGACCATGAGGACCCCGAGGACCTGGCGCTCCATGGGGACCCTGTGGGAGGATCAGAGGTACCTTCACTGACACCCCTCCAGAAAAACAAAGACTGCACAGGCACCACCCTTCGTGACCTTTGACATGACCCCCATAACCCCCCAAATAGGCCACCCCCACCCAGTAACCTTCTCCTGGGAGCCCATACCATGGAGCCCACATCTCCAACCTCCCCTTTCTCTCCAGGAGGCCCCGGCAGCCCCTAGGAAACAAACACACAAGTTAGGGCACAGCGTAGGGGAAGCTAGAGGGGTCCCCTCCCCCAGGTCAGGCACCCACCTGTAGGCCAGGGGGGCCAATGACCCCCACAAAGCCTCTGACGCCATCATCTCCTTTCTGCCCAAAGAGGCCTGGGGGTCCCCGACGCCCCTGGGCCCCATCTGCTCCCTAGCAGGAGGACACGGGAAAGACCCAGTTGGAATCTGGATCTTGGTTGGCCAATAGGGTCAGGGTGGGAGTCAGGCTGGGGATGGAGTTTGGGAAGGATTTGGGTTAGGGTCTGCAGTGGGTTAGGATCACGCCCTGGGCAGCATTCAGACAGAACTGAGATGGAATCCAGGACTGGGTTGGGATTTGGGGCCTGCTGCAATGTGTCGTCCAGAAGTTCAAGTGCTGGGAACAGAAACCCCCAGCTCTGATGTCACGGTACTTGGAGGTGGAGTGGGGGGTGGTCTTTGGTAGGTAGGTGGGGTCAGATAACATCCATGATGGCAGAAAGAGAACAGCTGAGGCCACACCTGGCTCTCTCTGTGACACCTCCTCCATGCCCCATGCCCTGGGGGCCCTCTGGCCCCCCAAACCAGGAATCTATTCTCAATAAATCTTCCATCTAGGGCATTTTGTGGAAATGGACTAAGGGTCTGGTTGCTGGAATGGTGTTGGCTTAGCAGGAACTGGGAGAGAAGGGATGAGGGAACTGAAGGTCAGGTCCTGTGAAGACTGGGGTGAGAGGTTTAGGGTTGACAAGCAGGGGAGAGTCGCCCACACTTGATTTCCTGTTGGGTGTCGGCCTTGCGGGTAGGGGTTGTGGTTGGGAGACCTCAAGCAGGACCGTCACGCTTAGAGTGTACTCACCGGGGAACCCGGATGCCCCACAGGACCTCGAACCCCTGTTGGTCCAGGGGGTCCCTAGAGGAGGGGGAAGATCCCATCGAGTTCAAGACTGGGGAGGGGGTCCAGAGATGTCATCACACCACCCCCCTTGTCTTTTTACGAGAATAACCCTCTCCACCAGGAACCATAGCCACGGCTGCCCCATCCATGCCTTTCCTAACACCAGTCCAGCAGGTGTCCCCCAGACAGACAGCTGCCCCAGGCTCGTCCGCTACGGGCCCATCCCCAGAGGTCCTAGGGAAACTTGGGGTGCAGTTGTCCAATGGCACGCCCTGGAAGCGGGGCTCGGGGCAAAGCTGGGAACTGAAGGCTCAGAGGTGTACCAAGACACAAAGCAGACGGCAATGTGCCCAAGGAATGGGAGTAGGGGGCACAGGGGAGAGGGTACATGGATGTATGTGGATGGCGTCAGGATGGGGCTCAGGGATGCAGGAAGCACTGTGTGGTCCCCCTCATCTGCTCCTCCCCACTGGCTCCTGAAGCCCACCCACCCCAGGGACACCCTCACACTGCTCACCACTTCGCCCTTCTCTCCTCTGCTTCCCTTGTGGCCAGGGGGTCCCACTTCCCCCTGCGGAGGAAGCAGAATGACAAGACCTGTCCTCCCACTCCAGCCCCTGGACACCCCTCCCTCAACCCCTCACCTTGTCCCCTTCCTCGCCAGAAGGCCCGGGAGCTCCGGAAGGGCCCGGAAGTCCCAGGGGCCCTGGGATGCCATCCTTGCCAGTGGGGCCGGGAGCGCCGCGTTCTCCCTGTCAGGGAGAATGGGGAAGGCGAGGCGTCAGAGCCAGAAGGGGCCGCAGGAGGCAGGGTGTGAGGCTGCCGGGGGGAAGTAGGTGGGCCAGCCACTCACCGGGGATCCCTTCTCGCCAGCAGGCCCAATAGGGCCTTGGTTTCCGCTCTGGCCGGGGAGCCCAATGCCTCCAGCTGGGCCCAAAGGACCCCGCTCTCCAGGGGAACCCTAGGGAAGGAAGGGAGCAGTGGTTGCAGCAGAGTTGCCTTAATCCCACCATCAGCAGTCCTTCAGAGGACACACTGAGCACGGAGCCAGGTTCACTCTCCCCTGAGTCTTCCTCCAACACCCCCTCCAGCTCGACACCTCGCTCACTCCTCTCCAGCCCCAGGGGTTTCTCGCCCCACTGTTCTCCAGGTGTACCGGCACCTGGCGTTACGGGACTTGACCTTACCACCCCTTCTGTGCAAGTTGAAGGTTTGAGACAACCTGGCTTGAGCCCGTCCAGCACACCATCATTTTAAGGACTTTTAGAGGGTTTTGTTAGATAAGGCTTAGGCAAGGGGATTTCAGAAGTTATGCAAAAAGGAGCTAAAACGTGCGTTGAGTTGAGGGCAAACGGTACTGAAGCCCAGGAGTGGTTTTCTCGTGATATGCATTTCCTGGACTGGTTTGAAGACACCCCGCTCCCGACACACACCGTCACCCAGCAGAGCTGCTGGACCCACAGAGTAACCCCGGATTCACAGCTGAACTGGAGCTCACCCAGTCTCTCTAAGCTTCCCAACATTAGGGCCTCCAACTTGAGCTCCCCACACCCTCAAGTCTCCTCCTGCACACCCCATGCCCAGACACTGTCACTTACATTGGCTCCAACTGGGCCAGGAGGGCCTTTGTCACCCTTCAAGCCTACAGGCCCCTGGGGAAGGAAAGAAGTCATGGTCAAGACTGCTAGGAGACCTCAGGTCCTGTCTTCACTCTGGGGCACAGGGTCACATTCCCCTGCCTGGGCCCTGAGGCTCACCTCCAGGGGTGGCCTCTCCCTGGCCCCTCCAGCCAGCATTCCCACCCCAGGGCCGCAGCCACACCCCCTTCCTCATGTGCTGCTACTCACTGGCTCTCCGGGGGCTCCTGGGGGGCCTGGGAAGCCCCTGGGACCAGCTGGTCCCTCTTTCCCCAGGGGTCCTGGTGGGCCCAGCTCCCCCTGCAGGGGAACAAAGAAAGGAGGTGAGGCCCCAGACACAGGGTGTTGCCCCCTCCCACGCACCCCTTGCCTCTACCACAGCATCTGTTCTGGCAGGTCCCTTCCACTCCCACCAGCCGGGGATGGTGGTGGGGGGATCTCACCTTGGCCCCTTCTCTGCCTTCCTGGCCCGGAAGACCTTGATCTCCAGGTGGTCCGGGGGGACCCGGAGGACCCCTCTCCCCTAGGGGCCCCACTTCTCCTGTCTTTCCCTGTGGAGGAGGAAGGGCTTGTTTGGGATGATGGAGGGGACAGGCCAAGCTCCAGTCACCCTCTCCCAGTTGGCAGGTGCAGGATGGGAAAGGAGGGCTTGGAGGTTCCGCTCTGACCTGAGGCCCCAGAACACCAGCTGGTCCAGGCGGGCCCGTCTGCCCTTGGAAACCCTAGAGAGAAAATTAATTCATTAACTGGGCATTTCAGATGGCGTGCGTTCGAGGTTAAGGGGGTCACTCACCAGCTCTCCTCGCTGTCCAGGGTGCCCTGGCCGCCCGTCTTTCCCCTGAGGGCCCTGGGGTGGGGAGGACACCAAGAGAGAGGGTTGAGTGAGGCACAAACAAGAAACCCGGTTCCCCGCCCACCCCACCCCCATTCAGGGGTTCCGCAGTCACTCACCGGAGGACCCTTCGGCCCAGGGAATCCCGGGGGACCTTGCAAACCAGGGAGACCCTGTAAAGGAGGCGGGAGGCGATGTCTTAACCCGCAGGGTAGACATGGGACCTATTAACGATTAGGTGCCTACCGCATGCCGGGCAGAGGCCAGAGACTCCCGGGGCAGTGCTTCCATCTGCCTTTGGACTAAAGCTAGCCTCATTTTACAGAGAGGTTGAGTAACTTGCCCCAGGTCACACAGCAAAGGGGTGACAGATCCAAGGCAGGAACTCACTGGTCTGTAGTGTCGGAGACAGGGCTCTGCTGCAGTCCCCCACCCCGACCCGAGCTCAGCCTCCTCTGGCAGCCCCCCTCCCCCGTCCCACCCAGCCCACCACGCTGTGTCTTCCCATTCCCCATCCTGGGCTCGTCCTCTGCTGAGAGCCCCTCCCTCCCCAAGAGCAAGCAGTTGACCATGGAATTCTGCTCCAGCCCCTGACCCCAACTTCCTGCCAGTGTACACTGGGAGGCGGGGCGATGACTCCAGTCACGTGGCCCTTCTTGCCACCCACACAGATCTCATTTTGGCCTGGTGCTTGCAGGAACTGGGGGGCAGTGAATCAGCAGATGGACGCTTCTCCTCTCTCTAATCAAGGAAAGTGGGGGTGCCTTACTTGGCTCTTGTGATAGCCACACCCCATATCAGACCACCCAAGGCTCTCGACCCCCCTGCTGCTGAGGGAAGCAGCACAGGCTGCTGAGAATTCCCATGCGGGCATCTTGGATGGAATTCTAGGCTCCTGGTGTCATCCTGGCCCGGCCCTAGGTGTTGTGACCATTTGGGGAATGAGGCAGCAGATGGAAGCACCTCTCTCTCTGGTATTTCTCACTCTCTCTTTCACTCTGCCTTTCAAATAAATACAATTTTTCATCAATGAAAGATCTCTCTGTTTCCTTTCTCTCTGCCTTTCCTTCTTTAACTCTGCCTTTTAAATCAAACTTTTTTTTAAAATAAAATTAAGATCGTTCCATCAGAAATGTTAAGACATTACTTACCTTCTCTCCAGGGACACCAGGGGCTCCGTCCTGGCCGGTGTCACCCTAGGACGAGGCAAGGAGACTCAGGTCCCAGAACTAACTCCCCGGGGAGGGGCTGGGTGTGGGAGGGGGACTGTGTGGGCCTGCGCCAAGGGAGCTGCACCAAAGGCCTTGGTCACACACACCCTTACCTTGGGACCTGGCTGTCCTGTCGTTCCTGGTTGCCCCCTTTCCCCACGGGAACCCTGGGCAGAAAAAAGGGCACAAGTGAGAGAGGGAGATCATGGGCCATCCCTGCTGCCCCTCCCTCTGTGACCCCACCCCCGCGCGGGGGATACCGACAGAACCCAAGCCCAAGACTGACCTGCCAACTCCCTGGCTCCCCGCTGCCCTTCCCGCCCTGAGCCCTTGCCCCACTCAGAGGGCGCCGCTCTGCACTTTCTTACCGGTGGTCCTCGCTCTCCTTCCTCCCCCGGCTGCCCTGCCTTCCCCTGGAAAAGGGACGGATTGGGCTCTGGGCGCGAGCAGAAGAGACCCACGAGTCACACACACACACAGTCTGAACCCATGTGCTCAGACACACACGCACCACAGCTGTCCCAGGTGGTCCACCGTACCCCGTGCCATTGTACCATGCCCTGGGCCAGCCCCCAGCCTGAGCTCCTCATACAGTACATGATCCCTGGCCCACGGTGGAAACATACATGTGCCCAAATTCACACGGTAAACACACACCAGGACAGGCACACGCATGGCATACACAATGTGCAACTGCCCAAAGCAATGCAAACACGTATGCCGATCACTTGGTGTATGCACAGAAACACGCATGTGTGTGAGCACCACATACGTGTCGGCACCTAGTCATGGCTGCAGTACAGAACACGCGAGCAGGCGAGCAGGCAGAGCCCCCAGCACAAAGCCTTCAGCCTCTCCATTGAAAAACATCTGGACAGACACACACACACATAAGAAAATTCCAAAATGCTCGTGGACAAGGCTGATAAAGACAAAAGAAAAAACATGGCTGCCGTCCATGCCTAAGGGAAGATGCTCATGGGAAGGCAGGACCCCCTTTCACGGGGCCTGAGTGAGGAGTCCCCGCTGGGCTTCTGACCTCAGCGCCCTGCTCAGGCACACCCTGGGCGGGCGCCTGGGTCCCTGCCACCCACTGTGGGAGAGACCTGGGTGAAGTGCCTGGCTCCCGGCTTCAACCTGGCCCAGCCCTGGCTGTTGTGGGCATTTGAGGAAAGAACTAATGAAGGAAAGATCTCTCTCAACTTTCAAATAAATGACTTTCAAAATTTAATTTTCAATAAGTATGCATGGATTTCAAAAACATTGACGTCTTTTAGTTCCGTTACCCACAGACCTTTGAATAGCCTTCTTGCATGCGTGTGTGTTCAAACAGCGTCACGCACACGCACCCCACAGGGCACACGGGAACGCAAGTGCATGCAATGTTCCAGGCACACACAGCCACCCATTACCCACCCACATCGTGCACACACTGCAACCGCCCCTCCTGGACCCCGACTCACCCGCTTGCCTTTCTCTCCCAGTGGGCCCAGGAGCCCAGGAAATCCAACGGATCCCTGAGGGAAAAGAATCAAAGAGGTGAGAGGGGATTAGGGCTGGGCGGAGAAACAGACATGGAGAGTGCCTACCTGCTGGTTCACTGCCCACACGCCCGCACCACAGGGCAGGGGCCGGGGCTGCAGCCAGATCTGCTTTGTGAATGGCAAGGACTCAACCACATGAGCCATCGCCTGCTGCGGCCCCAGGAAGAAGTTGGAACTGGGAACAGAGCCCCTCTACTGGGTACTTGGGCATCCCAACTGGCCAAATGCTCACTCTTGTCATGGCCATTGCAGAAAGCAATGCTCCTTGTGGAACGCGTTCTGACTGGTCTGGACTAGGGAATGTCTCTCAGTCTCCCACATTGGGTTGCACACTGAGCTATGTACGCCATGAATTTATTCTGGGCTTCCTCCTGGAGACACGTGCCGTAACGAACACGGACAAGAACCCATGAAACAGATGGACAAGAAAGCTGTCCATCAGGGCCGGTATCTGGCCTAGCGGGTTAAACAGCCATGGCTAGGACTCCCCCAGCATATCAGAGGACCTGGGTTCGAATCCCTGTCTCTGCTCTTGCTTGCCCCAGCTTCCAGCTCATGCGCATCCCCATGTGGGCAGCCTAGGCTGCAGTCCTGGTGCAGACATTTGGGGAGGTGAACTAGCACACGCACTCACTCTCAGCACAGGAGGACGTAGCACAACGCATTGCTGTCGAACCTTTCGTACGCAAGACCGCTCCACCAGCTCAGGAGGGCGAAAGCCTGAGACGCAGGAGGCGTTCCGTGCCCACTCCCCCGTGTCTCCAGGTCGCTGCTCCAAGTTTCTGCTACGCCTCTTGAGGCCATTGTAATATTTCTTTTAGTGTATTTATTTGAAAGAGAGACAGACACACATGTGTGCGCGCACACACACACCGTGAGAGAGACTGAGATTTGTCTCAATGCCCCAAACGTCTGGGGCTGAGCTAGGCTAACGCCAGGAGCTAGCTTAAACAGAAACCATACATTCTGCATGATGTAATGTAGGTGTGGTTGAGGGAGAGAGGAGGCTTGTCGGTAACCTCATCTATCAGAACCCTGGCAAGCAAGCGTAAGCGCTATAATGAATTCAACAGAACACACTGCCGCCTGTGATGCTCTGACTTGGTAAACAAGCCCCGATCACGCCACACAAGAGCGGTCCTCGGCTCTCGCCACCAGCAGCAGCAGCAGCAGCAGGTTCAGGCGCTGGACGCGCTCGTGCGGGCACCGCCTGCGGCCCGTGCTGCGGCATCTGGGGTTCAGTCCCAGCTCTGCCTTCTCTTTCAATTTGCTGCAATACCTACCCAGGCAGACGGAATGGCTCCATGGCTGAGGCCCTGCCACTCACTCACATAGGAGACTTGGACAGAGAAGCCAGCTCCTGGCTTTAGCCTGGCCCAGCCCAGTTGTTTGGGGCTGAGGGGTGGAGTGTGTGCGTTTCTATCTGCCATTCAAACACATAGAATTTTTTAAAAGCTACAATGATCTCAAAAGACATAACAGAAAAGGAGTGATGTGCCCATGGGCATACATCAGGCCAGGGGTCAAGAAACCCAAGCGTGCCCAATGCCAACCAAAGTCCATATCTTATCCCTCAATGGCCCACGGAGTGGGCAGGTCCTCCTACCCCAGGTCACTGCCTGGAGCCCAGATATTACTCTGTGATAACTTCTCCGCTCTGCCCAGCCCGAGTCACCAACATCTTACCTTAGGGCCTGGACGCCCGGGGTAACCTGGGAGACCTGGCACCCCCAGCTTGCCCTGCAGAGAGAGAGAATGGCACCAAGTCAGAACTTGCAGCCTAGACGTTGAGAAGAGAGGTCATTGGGTAGAAGGGACCACAGAGCAGGCTTGGCTCCTGCCCACCCGTCCCGAGGCTGGCCACTCAACCCCAGTGTAGCTGTTTTCTCATCTTTAAAATGCAGGCAGCGGATTAAGCTATCCTTTGCAAGCCCAGCCTCCCGTACGGGCTCGGTGCGCCATTTCCCCTACCAGCTCCTGCCTAATGCACCTGGGAAAGCCACAGAAGACGGCCCACGGGTCTGAGCCCCGACACTCACGTGGGAGGCCTGGAGAGTTCTCGGCTCCAGGTAGGCCCACCCCCGGCTGAGTGGCCATTTGGGGAGTGAACCAGCAGACAAAAGCTCTCTCTCTCTCTCTCTCTCTCTCTCTCTCGCTCTCTCGTTCTCTCAAATAACATTATCGTTATTACACCTGCTGTGTGTAATAACAGCCCAGTGTCCAGAACTGCTCTGACACTGACGACCATCAGGGTTGCCGCCTGCTGGGGTCAGAGGTGAAATGGCAGAGGGCTTGGGGAGGGGGAGGGATGGCCGAGGAGCATTCACCTTCTCTCCAGCTGCACCGGGGGGCCCCTCCTCACCAGCCAGCCCCTCCGGCCCCTTTGGGCCCTCGGGACCGTCCTCTCCCCGAGGACCTGGGGGTCCGGGCTGCCCCTGAAAGACAAAAGAGAGGCCCAGGAATCAGTTCTCGATCCTTTCAGGGTCTTCAAGTTCTAGGCCGCCCCCTGCCTGTCTCCCCTCCCCCAGCAGACCCGCAGGACCCCCTGAGAGGGAGCCCGTCCTACCCGATCACCCTTGAGGCCACTGTCGCCCTTGAAGCCTGAGAAGCCATCTTCTCCCTGGAGAAAGAGGGGTGGGGGGGCAGACACAGGTCAGAAGTCAAGGCCAGAGGTGAAGTCTCAGGGCTCCACTCTGGGGTCACTCACGGCCTCACCAAGGGACCCCTCCCCATCTTACCTGATCGCCTTTCTCTCCCTGGACACCCCGATGGCCAGAAGTGCCCTAGGAAATAAAATTTTAAAGAAAAATAAGGCACCTCTCATATGCTCTCCCTGCTTAAGAAGGGTTCCCCCCCACACCCTGCCCCACACCCTGGCATCTGTGGGTGTGGGGTACATTCGCCCTCCGTGACACCCCACACCCTGGCATCTGTGATCTTGGGGTGCACTCGCCCCCCCTGACGCCCCACATCTGAAGGGGCGCTCGCAGGAAAGGAGGAATTTCGCAGAAGTCAATGCCCACCTCCCCGGAACACCGCGTGTGCAGGTTCCTTCTGGCAACCAGGGGACACTGAGCTCGGCCACAAGGCCACTGTGTGCTTGGTGACAAGGAAGGAGGGCTGCCCAGTCACAGCTCCCCACTCTGGAAACGGCGCCTGGTTGCCCCTAACTGAACCCGGCAGCTACAGAGAAAGCTCCCTTGGATCCCACGTAACCACAAGGTCTGCTGATGCCCAGCTGGCTCCTGCCTCGGGCAATGCCACTGCAGCGTGATGTTTGCGTCTCCAGCCTGGGGGCCGGTTCAAGCCCACGTAGCAACGACCCAGGCTTCAGTACCCAAAGCCCTGCACTCTCTTCAGCTGCAGTCTAATTAGGTCCCACGAAGGCACAGCCATCCCCTACACCCACCCTGCGCTTCCCTGGGACCCCCAATGAATGCGGAAATGTGTGTGAGATGGGCTTCTTGTCCCATGCAGGAATGCCTGTGACAACGTTGAATTACGAGAGTCACTGTGGCTAATAATCAGGTAGAGGTGCAATGGCGCAGGGACTCGGTGTAGCTGGCATCGCTGGGAGTCACACGGGAGACCCTGGTCCCGCTTCCTGCTCACACACACCCTGAAAGGGCAGGTATAACTCAGGTATTTCTGTTATTTGCACCCAAATCAACCTTTAATTCAATGTTCCAAGAACTTATTCAAACACTTCCTACAGTCAGCTCTTGGTGTCTGAAGGCCTGCACAAACTCCACCACCCACGGATCAAAACTGCGCAAATCTCCTCCGGGGCTGGCGTTTCGTGGTGCTGGGGGTTAAGCTATGGCTGCAACACCCTGCCTGGCATGCCCTTATCAGGGCACCACTTCGATTCCCCACTTCTAATCCAGCTCCCTGTCTGTGCACCCAAGAAAACAGAGGAAGATGGCCTAATAACTGGGGAGCCAGACGAAGTTCCTGGCTCCCGGCTTCACCCTGACCCAGCCCCACCATTGTAGCCTTCTGGGAAGTGAACTGGGAATTGACAAATGTCTTCCTCTCACTCTGCTTTTCAAATAAACACATAAAAACTAAAAAAAAAAAAAAAAAAAGTCATTGTGGGCCCAGCACGGTAGCCCAGCGCCTAACATCCTCACCTTGCACAAGCTGGGATCCCATATGGCACTGGTTCTGATCCCGGCAGCCCCGCTTCCCATCCAGCTCCCTGCCTGTGGCCTGGGAAAGCAGTGAGGACGGCCCAAAGCCTTGGGACCCTGCACCCGCGTGGGAGACCTGAAGGAGGCTCCTGGCTTCAGATCAGCTCAGTTCCAGCCATTGCAGCCACTTGGGAGTGAACCAGCGGACAGAAGATCTTTCTCTCCATCTTTCCTCTCTTTGTATATCTGACTTTCTAATAAAACTAAAAAAATGTTTTAAAAGAGTTGTCTCTGTAACTAAAGGCGTACAGATTTGTTTCTGGTCACCTTTCCCAAGCTGCCTGCTTGTTTAGCATTTCCTTGCAGGGGCTTTTACAAGCAATCCAGACGCGACTGACGAGTACAGGGGCGGAGGGTGGACAGCATGTGGCCCGGAAGTTGGCGTCTTTGGGGAGACCCACCGCCCCATCAGAATGCCTGGCTTTGAGGTTCATCTCTGCTTCTTTTTCTTCTCTTTTTAAAGATTTACTTTTTTTATTGGAAAGTAAGTTTTACAGAGATGGAGAAACAGGGAGAAAGATCTTCCACCTGCTGGTTCACTCCCCAAATGGCTGCAACACCCAGAGCTGAGGTGATCTGAAGCCAGGAGCTTCTTCCGGGTCTCCCATGCGGGCACAGCGTCCCAAGGCCTTGGACCATCCTCTAACTTTTTCCCAGGCCACAAGTAGGGAGCTGGATGTGAAGGGGAGCAGTCAGGACATGAACTGGTGTCCATATGGGATCCCACCGCATGCAAGTCGAGGAGTTTTGCCACTAGCTTACCACGCTGGGCCCACCAGCTCTGTTTCTATTCCGGCTTTCTGCTAACGTATGTTCTGGGAAGCAGGTGGTGGTTCAAGTGGCCGGGCCCCTGCCATGCATGTGGCAGACCTGGGTTGAGCTCTGGGTCAGGCTTTGCCCGCTGGCCCCTGCCCAGCTGCGGACGGCATCTGGGAAGCAGGTCAGCAGATGAACCTCCCATACCCTTTGAATCTCTCTTTCTCTCTCCAATAATACAGATATGTATAGATACATATATATTCTGATTTCCTATCTTAAATAATCAAATATTCAGGAGGTTCTGTATGCATCTCACTCTATTCTGTGTAAGGTGCTTCAGCCTCTGTAAAGTTGTGCATCTGTGGGGTTTGGCTGTGGCCTTAACGTGCGGCCCCATGGCAGCCCAGACCCCATCAGCAGCCACATTTCGCCGCGTCCTGGCTCCACACATCCAGAAGTTTGGGGTGTTCTTTTTTTCTAATGTTTGGGATAATATATGCTTAATTCACCTTGGAGTCGAGGGCCTAATCCTCCTCCAAATAAAGTGTTCAACGAGTACGAGTAAGAAGGCCACTCTTTCATGGGGACACAGAGCAGGGTTGTAAAGTCACCTTTTTGGCCAGGCAGAGAATTCCTGACCAAGTTGCTCCCCCAAAGCTAAAGCTGAGCAATCAAGACCCCCTCTCGTGACCTACCTTCACGCCCCGAGGGCCGGGGTAGCCTGGGGGGCCTGCTGACCCTGCTGGACCCTGGGGAGAAGACAGAGTGTCACACTGGCCTTCCGCCCGTCCATTCCCAGCACTCTTCTCACCTCCTGCTCCCTGTGCCACCACCAGCCCCTGCACCAGCCTTCCTCCTCGTCACTCACCTGGGCCCCCTTCTCTCCTGTGGGACCCTCCTGGCCCGGGTGACCCTGGGAAAGCAAGATTCTAAGGCATCAGAAACCAAGTTCCGCCGCCTGCGACCCCCAGCCTCCCACCTCCTGGTTCTCACCGGAGGGCCGTCAGCTCCCGGGGCACCTGGGACTCCCGGGTTTCCAGGAAGACCCTGTGGGAAGAACAACAGCTCTGGCAGCCGGAGTGTCTTAGGGCCCTGGAGCTGCTCAGACAGAAGCAGCCGAGAGCACCGCTCAGAAAACCCACTCTGGTTCTGCCCGGACTTGCCGTGTGACCCTGGGCAAGTTCCAAGCCCTCACTGAGCCCCCAAAATCCTCTGCCACTGGACAGACTGAAGGTGAGCACGCAGAAACACACACCCTGGAGGCACCAGCCCAGGATCCCGTGCAAGTAAGAAGTGGAGGGACAGAGCTGGAGCGTGGGCAGAGAGAGGCCTGACCTCTGGGCAGAGCAGCCAAGAGGGACTGCAGGGCCTCCAGGCACGGACCATCCCAGCCAGGACTGCCACCGGCTGCAGTTTCTCGGGGGTTCTCTGTACCCCAGCAACAGCACCCCCACTCTGAAGGGACAGCATGGCAGGTCTGCCTCTTGCTCTCAATGTCTCTGTAACGGGGCTGGCTCCTATTAGGGTTCCCCAGAGAGGGTGCTCCCAGGCCACAGGTTGCAGGGAAGTCATGGGGGGCAGTAGAGCTGCCACTTACCTTCTCCCCAGGAATGCCGATGAGGCCCTGAGGGCCTGGGATGCCCTGGAGACAACATACAGAGACAGGAGTGAAGCCCGGAGCACCCAGGTTGAAGGGCCAAAGTTCTTACCAAGCACCGCCCTTACTGCCACTACTGGGAAAGAGAGGGCTCGAACCTGGGACCCGTGGTTTCCCTGTTGTCCTGGAGGGCCAGGTTCTCCTGGAGGACCCTGGGGAGAAAGTGAGGAACAGTCATGGTGTTGGGGTGTCAGTGGAGTTGACACCGATGACCCCGGCAGTGTCACTAGGGCCCGGGCGCCAAGGGCAAAGCACATACCACGTTGCCTTTGGCCCCGGGAGCTCCGTCACTTCCCGTGGCCCCCTGTGAGGGAAAAGCAAGACCATGACTGAGTCTGAGACCCTAAGAGGCACTTGGCGGGGTGGGGGGCAACAGACGGGTTGGGGATCAGGCCACAGAGACCCCAAAAGCAGAGGGGCCTCATCCTCACCGGGCGTCCCAGGGGGCCAGGGGAGCCTCGGGGCCCGATCAGTCCTCGGGGACCCTGCAGAGGGGGAACCAGAAGGGTGCATTCAGTCAGCCCCACCCACACCCTGAACCTGGGTGCTCCGAGGCCCTGGAAGCTGGGTCCGAGGCATGCCCAGCTTCCTCCCTACTCACCGGCTCGCCAGCCTGGCCGGTGGGGCCTGGAGGGCCTTCCGCACCCTGTGTTTGGGGGGAAGGAGGGGAAACACCATTGCTGAATTGGGGTAGGGGAGGAGGGTGGCAAACAAGGCCTAGAGAAGTGGCTTCCCCCATTTGGGCAGCCCCTTCCCGGGGACCTCAGGGTCAGACTGAGGTCACACACCCTCCCACCTCCAATCCTAGCTCCCCGACCCCAAATCGCACCTCCTAACGGCAAACCATCCCCCGGCACTCATGCTCTTTCTCTGTTTTTGCTTTATTTGTGTCATTCTCCCAGATGCCCCCAGTGGCGAGGACTGGGCCACGTGACAGACCAAAGCCCGGAACGGCCTCCCAGGGAACACCGTAGCAGGAAGCCGGGACTCAGAGACTCAGGACTCAACCCAGACGCCCCCAGTACAGGATGTGGGTACCCCATCCACCAGCTTCACCCCCTGGACCGCCTGTTGGAACTCTCCCCTACGTCCGGGGGCCTGGCCTTCTAGCGCCTGTCTGTGAACTCCAAGTCACCCCCAACCTTCTTCCCGACTCACCTTCTCACCGTCCTCTCCAGGGGGGCCAGGCTGCCCCACGTGGCCAAAGTCACCCTGGCGTGGGGAGGCAGAGGGGGGAGTTCAGTGCAGAATGGCACAGGTAGAGGCCCAAAACCACCCCCGCAAGCCCCCAAGAAAACAAGAAGGGGATGAGGGAGCAGGGCTGAGACCCGGTACAAGGCTCACAATGGGTGGGAAGGGGCTCTGGGCACCGGGCTTAGCTATCCACAGGGGTCTCCCGCACTCACCCTCTGGCCCTTCTCACCAGGCAGCCCCGGGAGGCCATCAAAGCCCCGATCACCCTGTCCAAAGAGATGCCAGCTCAGCCCAGAGCCTGGGACCCCAAGGGCTTCCAGGGCCCCAGGGGCTTCCAGGACCCCAAGGCCTTCCGTACCATCGCTCTCCTAACCCTCCCAGGTTCCAGTCCCAGCCATGTCACGCACCTTGGGACCCGTGTCCCCAGGGAGGCCTCGTGCTCCATCTGCTCCAGAACGGCCCTGCGGGGAACATGACCCAAGGGTGGAGACCAGCCTACCCAGTACCCTTCTCAGCGACAGGACCACCGCCACCCTCTGGAGGGAGACCCGCCACCACTCCCCGAGCAGGATCTTCATCCTGCAGTCTTGCTGGGCGGCTTGGCAGTCTCAACATCACTTCCCAAACGTACCCCTTCGTCTTTAGCCCCTCAGGCCCTTCCCCCAGCTCAAGTCAGCTTCGTGGCCTCCCTCCACCACCCTGCCGTCCTTGTCTATGTGACCTTCCTGGCATTTACAACCTTCTAGAACCATCTGAGCCATCCCATTCTCTGGGGGCCAGACGAGTCTCTCACACACAGGCCGTGCCTTCTGCCTGGGACACCCTGCCACACCTGTCGGCCTGGCTGCCCTCTTCTAAGACCTCCCTGCCTCTTCTGCCTGGCCCGATCCCCGTGACACGCGCCTCTGTGGACTATTCTCAGTGCTGAGAGCCCACGGGGGACCCCAGGAGACTCCAGACGCAGAGGCAGGGCTTGTGTTGGGGACGGAGGGACGGGTGGATGGAAGGTGACCTGAGGCCCCGGGGGTCACTCACCATCTTGCCTTCCCTTCCAGGCGGCCCGGGAGGTCCCTGCAGCCCCCGGGGACCCTAGAAGAGAAAGGAGAGAGAAGACTGACTCCCTGAGACGGGCAAGTCGGGCTAGCACTCGCTCCCACAGCCCAGGGGAAGACCCCCCATCCAGTCCTGTCAGCCGCCCTCACGCCCCCTTGCCTCACCTGTGGCCCCATCTCTCCCATCTCTCCTTTCAAGCCCGGATATCCAGGGAGACCCTTTGGGGGTGGAGCAAAGCAGGGTGCCATTAGAGCACGGAGTCCCTTCCAGGAGAGGTGCCCCCTCCCCTACACACTCCTCACTCACCACAGGGCCTGGGCGCCCGGTGAGCCCCACTGGGCCAGGGGGCCCTTTCATGGACAGCTGGAGAAACGGAGGGGGAACAGAGCTGGAATCTTTCATGAGACGTCACTTCCCCTCCCACCCCACCCCTGCTCCCTCACGATGGTTCGGCGTGCTCCCCCAAAATTCACACATCAGAAAAGCTTATATTGTTCTTGTGTGTCATTTCTTTCAGAGTAAAAAAGATTCCCGCAATGGCCAGAGCTGGACCAGGCTGCAGCCAGGAGCCAGGAACTCCTTCACTCCCATCAAGCGCTTGGCCCATCGCTTGCTGCCACCCACCGCCACCACCACAAGCATTAGTAGTAGGTCAACCAGCTACACGACAGCCTCCAGACTCTGGTTAAGGAAGGCAGCACTGGACAGGGCACCCCAAGCTGGCACCCACCTTACTACCCAGTGTCCCTCTAAGTAACCAGGCAGCAAAGGGACCCAGTGCTGGGACTTCCTCTCCCAGATTCAGGTATTTGGTCACAGTGACAGAACACAAGACACCTTCAGGAGGCAGGTCACCTCGCTGCCCCTTCCCGCCCCTGGTCACCCCCGGAGCCACGCTGCCCCTTCCCGCCCCTGGTCATCCCCGGAGCCTCGCTGCCCCTTCCCGCCCCTGGTCACCCCGGAGCCAAGCTGCCCCTTCCCGCCCCTGGTCAGCCCCGGAGCCTCACTGCCCCCTTCCCGCCCCTGGTCATCCCCCCCGGAGCCTCGCTGCCCCCTTCCCACCCCTGGTCACCCCGGAGCCTCACTGCCCCTTCCCGCCCCTGGTCACCCCGGAGCCACGCTGCCCCTTCCCGCCCCTGGTCACCCCCGGAGCCACGCTGCCCCTTCCCGCCCCTGGTCATCCCCGGAGCCTCACTGCCCCCTTCCCGCCCCTGGTCACCCCGGAGCCACGCTGCCCCTTCCCGCCCCTGGTCAGCCCCGGAGCCTCACTGCCCCCTTCCCGCCCCTGGTCATCCCCCCCCGGAGCCTCGCTGCCCCCTTCCCGCCCCTGGTCATCCCCCCCCCGGAGCCTCACTGCCCCCTTTCCGCCCCTGGTCACCCCCGGAGCCACTGCCCCCTTCCCGCCCTGACATCTGCTCACCTGAGCCTGCTGCAGCACTGCCTGGGCCTGTGCCTGCTGGAAGGAGACTTGGGGTCCCTTGAGGGAGCTGCTTGCGAACTGGAACTGGAGAGCAATCGACTTGTGGTGACGGGAGGACCCTAAGGAAAGACCCCACCCTGCTCCACACCCCAGTCAGGGCTGCCACCCCCACTCCGTGCTGCCCTCCGCCCTCCTTACCGGCATCATGATGACAGTGCCTGGTGGGCCCCGGATGCCATCCGTGCCAGGAATGCCCGGGAGACCAGCAGGGCCCTGGGGTGGAGGGGACAGAGGGCAGTGACATGGCAGATGGAGGCGGGGAGAGACAGAGACATGGTGCAGATCTCGGAGAAGGCTCGTCCCAGCGGGATGCAGAGAGGAAGACACAAGACGGAGAGCGGAGAGCGAGGACAGAGAGATGCGCGTGAGAGACGGAGGGTCGTGGCCGAGAGGCAGGGGGCAGCACAAGCCCCCAGACGCGGGAGAGGAACCAGACTGGGATGGACAGGGTCGGGGACCCCTGCCAGACCCGGAAATGAGGTCCTCGGGGCAGCCCCGCAGATGTCTGTGCCCACCCGCTACAGCCACCAAATAAACTCTCCCCGAGAAGGACACAGGAGGGGTCTCTTACCGGCAAGCCAGGGTCCCCAGGAAACCCAGGGGGCCCAGGGGGGCCTGTGGGGCCAACCACCCCCTGTTAGGAGACAAGAAACAGGTCACCTGGAGTTCCAGGGCTTGAGGCAGGCTGACCCTCCCCCACACGGACCCTGGTCCAAGATAGACCACCAAAGGCCGCGTCTGAGCATTCCTGCCTCCCACCCAGACACCACCACTGCCACACCAACCCGAACCCCACTCCCCGCCACCACCCCTCTCTCCGACCCCGTGATCCCAGGGCCTTCAGTGCTCGCCAAGGGCAAGGGGATGACAGGAAGACAGGGGAACTCAGCCGGTACTCACGCGTGGTCCTGGAGCTCCGGGAGGCCCCTCAAACTGCTGTCCCTGTAGAGAGAAGTGAGAGTGACCACCTGGTCCAGCGAGGCCTCTCAGCCCCCCTGTGGCCCATGCAGTCCTCGCCGCCCTCTCCCGCCCCCCCCCCCCCCCCCCTCCCCCCCCTGCCGCCCTGTGTCTGGCCCCTGCGCTCTCTTCCCCCCCCCGCCCCCCCCTACAGCCCCCCTGTAGCCCCCTGCGGCCCTGGCTCCCTCACCTGCTCAATCACGGCAGGTTCCCCTTTAGCTCCTTTCTCTCCAGCGCCCTGGGGTGTGGACAAGGTGTGGGTGGGAAGAGAAAAGAGATGTGAGCCTCGGGGGTGGCGGCCACCTGCCCTGTCAGGCGCACGCCCTCACAGCGCCCTCTGCTGTCCCTGATTAACCCTCGTGGGCTGGAACCCACTCACTGCGTGGCCCCAGCCATGTCCTGTGGAGATGGTCCTTCACCCTAGATGTGGCTCTTATTACACAATGTCGAGCAACTTCGCCCCTTCTTTAAACGTTTATCTTACTTATTTGAAAGGCAGAGAAAGAGAATCTTCCATCTATTGGTTCATTCCCCAAATCTGCAAGGCTTGGGCTGGGGCAGCAGGTAAAGCAACGGCCTGCAGAGCGGGCATCTCGTGGTAGAGTGCCAATTCAAGCTCGGCTGCTCCACTTCCAGTTCAGCTCCCTGATAACGCAGCTGGGAAAGGAGTGGCAGATGGCCCAGGCGCAGGGCCACTCACGTGAGGGACTCGACCAGAATTCTGGCTCTCAGCTTTGGCCTGGAACAACTCGAGACATTGCAGCCATCTGGGGAGTGAACCAATTCACGGCGAGCTCTCTCCCCCTCCGCTCTCTGTCACTGCTTTCCATTTTGAAAACAGGGGACTTCAACATGCTTGTAGAAATGGAATTTAAAAGCTTCATTGTACGCAAAGCTTTTGAAGTCCAGTCATGTTTTCATAAATGCACCTTTTCCACCAACTTTCTGAAAGCCCTTCACAGAGCTTCTCCGTGGAAGGTGTTCAGGCGAGGCTTGGCATAGAACAGGCGGTCAGAGTAAGGGGATGTCTCCCGTCCAACGCCAAGGCCAGAGCCTCAGCCCCCTTCTCCAGCCGCGCTGCTCTCCCAGGAAGCTCCGTGTGAAGCCTCGGCCAGAGACCCTGCAGAGAAGTCGCCACTCTTCACTCTTGGGAACTCCAGTGTGCTAAGCAACCACCCTCTTGGCTTTGTCCAACACGGAGGCCCAACCAGTGTGGCCAAGCCGACCCATCAAGATGGGATCCTGGGCTTCCTCTGGGAAGGCCCCTTCTGACCCAAGCATGCCATCCTACGTCTATCTTCCCTCCAGCTCCCAGCAGCCTGTCCAGACAGGTGCACGTCCTCCTCGTGCCTGGACCACAGGCTTCCCTGCTGTCTCTCTTGCTCCCCTGCAGCCCTGAACGTTGCAACGCGGGCAGTTTCATTTCCTGGACCTTCTCCAGCTTAGACTAAAATCCCCCAAACATATGGCCCTGTCCACAGAACCTGGCACAGGGGAGGGACAGAACTGACACTTTTCAACTGCACTGGGTTTTGCAAAAGTGTTGGAGGCAAGGTCGGTAGTAAGTGAAGAGAGAGGGTGGCTCTGGTGGGAGTCTCCCGCACCCCAGCCAGCTCCCCCAGAACTCACGGGAAAGATCTGAAACTCTGTCAGAGTCGGCTGTTCTGCTGCCCCAAAGTCAGGGCCCATGACGGGGTCACTGCTTTCCTCATCGCCATCTTCATCTTGGGCTGCCTCGGTCCCTGGGGTCCCCAGCTCATGTCCACTGTCAGGCTCCAAGCTCTGCTGAAGACATGGCACAGGCCCACGCTTTCTCCTTAGGACCCACAGCCCCTCATCCCTGGGCCTTCCCGCTGCCAGCACCGCCACCCACTTCCTGCCGACCTCTACGATGGTGACGTTTTGGCTGGTAGTCACGGTGGTGATGGTGGTGGTGACAGGGACCGACGGTGCTGAGGTGGGAAGCAGTTTCAGGGCTGCTGTCCCGAGGACTGCAGTAGACGCCTGTAGCGGGGATGGGAGGCCGATGACAACAAAGAGAAGGGGAAGGAGGACACCGCCCTCGCTCTGGCCCCCAGGAGCTGCCACTCTGGACAGGGAAGAGGTCAATGGAGGCCGGCGAGTGGCCTTGCTGGACACCATCACCAGCAGGGGGCGCCGTTGGCTATGGAGGAGGAGCCGGGCTGGGCCAGTTCTCAAATCAAGTCAAGGTCCAGCTGCTTGGGGTCATCAGACTCCCAAAGCCTGACCTACATGTGCTTGGCCAAGGCAGAGTGCAGCAGTCAGCCAGCCAGGCCACCGCCAGAGAGGGAGGGGCAGCTCCTTCCGGCCTGGCCCGCTGCAGAGGAGCTGGGTGAGGGTGCAGGTCCAGGTGAAGGTCAGGGGTCATGCCATTCCTGGGGTCCAGGCCAAGAGAGATGACGCTGTGTATCAAGGACCCCACTGGTGGGTCAGTTAGTCCTACAGCCAGTGGCACCCCTCAGTCAGTGATCCTCAACTCACAAGCAGCACGAGTTAGAAGCTGTGATCTACGGCTCCCCAAGCAGTGACCCGCCCACCACAAAAGGTAATAGTAATTCCCCAAAAGTGAGCCGAATTGCAGGTCACAAGCCAGTAATTATACTAAGCAAGGGCTTTCTAACTAACCACTCATGAGGGGCTCCCAACCTGATGCCCCCCCAAAAAACCACTCCCTCAATGACTCCTAGAGATAATTCCAAAATTCCCTCCACTTGCTGGTTCTCCCAACAACCGCCCCCAACCTAAGGACCCCCAATATCAACCCTGAGCTGATGAGCCAGCAGCGGCCTTGGGTCGGTGACCTCCAACTAGGAACACCCCAATACGGACCCCAGTGAACAGCTCCTCCAAGGACCTCCCAAATCAGGGAAGACAAGGGGCCCTTCCAATGTGTGGGCTCGCCCCATGAGTAGCCATGACCAAGAGCGCCAATCAACTTACAACGTCCCATTGAATAGTAGCCCTTCTTGAGCTTAAGGTGCTCATCTGGCTGTGCATCCAGAGATGGAAAACAGAACCACCCACGATCACCCCCACCCGCGGAGAGAAGCCGGGGTGAAGGGCTGGAGGGCAGAGACAAAGGTCACGCCGGGGAGCAGCACGGGTCTCTGACCTGGTTCTCCAGGACGCCAGGAGCTGGACTGGAGGTCCCCGCCTCCTGGTTCTTCTTCTTCCTGCCCTTCCCCTTGCGTCCCTTCCCTTTCTTCCTTCCTTTCCCCTTTCCTTTGCGTCGGGGAGGAGCAGACGTTCCCGGCTCACCCTGGGGTGCCTGGGGAGAGGACCCCCACCCAGGTCAATGGCAGCTCCTTGGGCCAGCAGGAGCCACAGTGCCACACGGTACAGGGACAGGGTATTTCAGGGTCAAGGCCACTCAGGCCTTGGATGTGGGGTCAGAGGTTGCACAGCCCATGTTAAGAGCCAGGATCCACTTCCTCCCGGGACCCAGAGCTGAGGATGACTCAGGCCGGTGGAGGGAGGGAGTCGCAGGCCAGGCCAGATGCTCACTCACCCTGGCGGCTGTGGGATCCGCTCACTCACCCCCGCGGCTGTGGGATCCACTCGCACCCCCACGGCTGTGGGATCCGCTCACTCACCCCCGTGGCTGTGGGATCTGCTCACTCACCCCCGCGGCTGTGGGATCTGCTCACTCACCCCCGTGGCTGTGGGATCCGGCTTGTCGCAGCTGGGAAGGTAGAGCTCACAGGCCTGGAAGGCAGCTTGGGGATCTGGGCTCAGCAGAAGCTCCTGGATCTCTCCCTGGGAAAGAAAGAGGGGGTCAGAGAAGGTGGGGAGCAGCTGTGGACTGGCTCTGCCCACTCCCCGGCATGGCTCTGCCCACTCCCCAGCATGGCTCTGCCCACTCCCCGGCATGGCTCTGCCCACTCCCCGGCATGGCTCTGCCCCACTCCCCGGCATGGCTCTGCCCACTCCCCGGCATGGCTCTGCCCACTCCCCGGCATGGCTCTGCTTGACCTTGAGTCTTGGGGTTCCTCAGCAGAATCCCTGCTACATGTGTGAGGCAACACGAGAGAGCTGACAGAAAAGTGGACTTGAAAGATGAACTGCTTTGGGTGTCAAACATGATGAAAGCGGTGAGCAGTCAGCGCAGAGGACAAGTGCCCAGGAAAGCGGTGCTAGGATTCCCCTAACAGCCAGGGCTTCCCTGCCTGCGTCACCCCAGCCATAGCTGCTCGGCATCTCTCCCGTGGCTCGCTGGACCCCTCCCCATCGGCCCGGGGGTGGGCATTGGGCAGAATGGTGAGATCTCTGCTCAGCCCCCTCTTCAGAGGGCTCTGCTTCTCACACCGGAAACCCAGATTCCAGCTTCAGCACGGCCCAGCCCTTGCTGTGTGCGTTTGAGGAGCGACCCAGCAGATGGGGGACCTCTCTGTGTCTCCGTCTCCCTCTCTCTCCCCACATAAAGTGAGTAACAGCGGAGAGCCTAGGTTTGTGTCCAAGGTTTGTGGGAGGCAGCAGCTGAAGGCCCTGCCCTGGGTCCGACACCTGCATGGGAGAGCCGGATGGAGCGCCCAGCACCCATCTCTGGCCCCAGCCACTTCCAGGCACTGAGTGAGCCAGCCAATGAGAACTCTGTTTTCTGTGTGTCTCTTTTCCTCTCTCCTCATTCCTCCAGCTCTCAAGTTAATAAATTCAAACGAGAAAGCCTTTTTTTCCTTTTGGCACCAAAAATAAATTAACCTCTGCATCCTCTTTTCCACGAACTTTTGGAAGCACCCCTCTTCGCACCAGGTAACTGCCCTCCTCCCTCCTTGCATTGGGATCAGCGTAGCACAAGACAGATGAGGTCCCTGGACTCTGGGGGGTGACACCATGCCATGCCAGTGCCCGAAGGCACAGCCGGCTTGCATGCCACCACAGCCACCACAGCCATCTGAGGCCACAACCACATCCTTCTCCCAGCACAGGCCAAGCTCCGGCTGCATCCCACAAGGACTCCAGCCCACACCCACCCGCGCACTCTCCCCACCGCCGTCTCCTGGGATGCTCGCCATCCCCCTCGAGTTCTCCAGATTCAACCCAGAGCAGACACATAGCCAGGCCCCTACCTCGAAAGCGTCCTCCCCGACGTCCTGGGTCCCCAGCACAGTGAGTCCAGCTGTGCTGATACCTCGGGGACCCCGGTGCAACACAGGGGCCTGAGGGTCACAGTCGACCACCAAGGTCACCGTCCCACTGTCGACGCTGACCGCCACGCGGTGCCACCTGCAAGGGGCCAGCTTCAGTGGGGGTGCTTCTCACCACCTCCCTGCCACCATCGCTCCACACTCCTACACTCACCTGCCGTCCGTGAGCTGCACCTGCTGAGGGAAGGCCTCCAAGGAGCCTCCCAGGAGGCTAAGAGCCGGCCCCAGCGCCAGGCCTAGCTGCCGGGCCCCCTTCTCATCGTACACAGACAGAAGAACCGACTGGTTGGCTGGTTGGGCCCTCAAGGTCATCAGCACAGAGAATTGCTCAGGGAAAGGCCCATCTGGGTGGGCGGAGGAAAGCACCAGCTCAGGAGACAGTCAGAGGACTGCATGTCCCCTGGGGGACAGGGGGCCCACAGCCCCTTCCTGCCTCAACTCACCTGGGAAAAGCTGCCTCGTGGGGACGCTGAGCATGCTGGTCTTGTCCAATCTGAATGCCTGGTCACCCTCGGGAGTCCTCTGGGGGCAGAAGCCAGGCACCTGGGGAGCCCCAGCCTGACCCCCTTTCACACCCACGGCCTTCAGCACATCCACAGGGTCAGCTGCAGAGAGAAGCCAGAGCAAGGGAGGCATGGTGAGACCAAGACCAAAATTCCAGGCACCACCCATCTAGGCCTGGGGGTCCGGGGGACGGTCGCGACCCAACCCTCTCCCCCACAGTGAGGTCATGGCTCCAGAAGGAGGTGGCAGGGGCCAGCACCTCCCCCAGCCCCAGATGTTTCAGTCGCATGAGCCTGTTGACTTCTGTTCCCCTGCCCCGCCCCCACCCCTTGCTTTTTGGTGAGAAAAAAGCTGACCCAGTTCAAGGATGAATCAAAGTCTCCTGGCCCATGCCCCAGAGCCCAACTGTCCCCCTCTCCCCACTCCCCCGCGCTGGGTCCCCAGGACGACTTCCTGCAGCCGGCCCCCTTGCCAGGGGAAACCCGCACGGAGCCGAGGGAGGGGCTGCCTGGGGAGTCCAGGCCGTGCCTCCTCCCTCTGGCTAGCACCTTCCCTGACCTCCTCATCCATGCTCACCAGTGGCTTGGCCCCCGCGACCGTCCCCATGAACATCTGGGCTTGCCCAGCCTGACCTGGCTTTACTCAACCCAGCGTCCTCCCCATGGCCTCACTCTCCCTGACCTCCCCCTGCTGACCAGTGGTCTCTCCAACGGCCTCCTCTTTCTGTTCACCTCCTCCCTGCACCCCCCTTCTCTTATCACGGCCTAAGAAGGGACAGCCCCAACAGACCTGAATCCAGGCCATCTGCCCAGCCCCACCCCAGGCAGTTAGGCCAGTGTTAAGTGGAACCACATGGCCCCAGCGAGGGCCAGCAGCGGTAGAGGAGAGAGGAGGCTTCTCCTGGGCTCAGAGTGCCCTTGCCTGTCCCCTCCCCCTCTCCAACCCTGCCAACCGTCCCACTAACCCCGTGACCCTGCTCCTTGGCAGGAGCCAGACACAGCCAAAGCTGCCGTGTCCTCAGCATCCCAGAGGGTCCATGGGCTGAGCTCACCCCTGGGAGCTGGGTGGGGGGCATGGATGAGGGACCGCATCCCAGCTCTCCAAGCTGCACGGGGCCCCTGCCTCGGCCACCCCCAAGCCCGTCCCCTCCGCCCAGACTTTCTTCTGCTGGGCCTCTCCTCCCCTCCCGCCTCTCCCTGTCCCACTTTCTGCACTGCCCTTGTCCCCATCCCCTCTCCCACTCAGTATCTGTTCTCCCATCACTGCCTCTTCGCATCTCTGTGTCTTTATGTATAAGTGATGTGTATCTCTCGGCATGTGTGCCTCAGCCCCCATCTCTAATTGCCTGCTCTGCACTGAACTATCATTAAGAGGCATTTGGGGTAGAGAGCTGGGCTCCCAGGCTCCACTGACCACAAAGGTCACTCCCCCGTGGAATAATCATCCCAGCTGCCCTCTCTCCGGGCCTGAGAGCAAGACCTCACCCCCGCCCCCGCCGAGGCGCCTCCACCCCAACCCAGATCTCCCAGCCCGACTGCTGTGAGAAGGGGTCCCCGCTCTCCTCCCTGCCCCTCACCACTCCTTCCCTGCATCTAATCCCAAACGCTCCCGCCTCCAACTTGTGTCTCCTCTGTAAATGACATTTCAGAAGAAACTGCCTCTCTTTCTTTCCACAGCTGGCTTGGTGACAAGGACACACACAAGAGCCATTGAGTCCTGCCTGCGGGGCCAGGAGGTGGGTGGCCGCTCAGAGACTCAGCCCACGTCCTCCTGGGCCCACAGTAGCCCCACATACACTGCCCCCATTCCCCTGCCAACCACGGGCTGCCAGGATGACGCTGGGCACTGAGCCAGAATCAGGCTGATGGTGTGTGGCTGGGCATGGGTGTGGCCGGATGTGTGCACCTGCCTTTGCTTGTATGTAACCATTGCCCCTGCCATTCTGTATGGAGCAGGGAACAGCTGGGTAATGGTGTCCGTGTGTGCAACCACGTGGCCTGTGATGGAGGGCCTCGGTGCAGTGGTTTGACTGCTGAGCGTGTCCAGGTGAGTGGAGACTCTGGCTGTGAGCCAGCCCTGCCACAGGTGAGCCCGTATGGTAACAGCATGACCCGTATGTGTGACCAAGTGAGTGAGTGAATGATGGGATGTGAGCGTCCACCAGAACTTGTCCGTTTGCCAGGGTGAGAATTTGAAACGGTAGGAGGGTGACAAAAGCCCTAATGGTGTGGCAGTGTGGCCACGTGGCTGGGTATGGCTGGCAGCTGATGGGTGCGCAGGGCGCAGGCAAGGTGCTTCCCATTTGTGGCGCCCCGGGAGCTCCCGTGAATGATGCCTGGGCCTGAACCACCACGTGGATGTGAGAGCGTGGGAACCGGCACAGGCCAATTTGGGATTATTCCCACGGATGCTGGAAAAAGTGAGAGAGCAGGGTGTGAAGTGGGGGTGTGGGGCTGGGGAACCAAGCTCACCTTGGCCCGGGGTCGGGGGAATTATCCTGGAGGATCTATCCTGGGATCCTTCAGCTCAGAGAAGCCCCTGTGGCTACCCCTGGAGGAGCCACCACCTCCTGCCTCACCCGCACCCCTGGGGCACCCCCCTGCTCAGAACCCTGCGGGGCGGGGCGCGGCGCCAGGCCAGATGTGCACAGCTGGGCGTGCGTCAGCGCTGACTCACCAGCCTGGCGAGGGCTCCCGGGACCCTCGGGGGGCCCCCTGAGAAATTCCTAGGGAAAAACATCTAAAGCAGTCGCAGCTGGGAGGGGGTGGGTGTTGCACTCGTCACCCCGCCCCGCCGCGCCCCTCGGCCACCGCCCTCCGGGGCGGCTCTGTCCATGGTGCTGACGGCGGCTCTGGGGCGCTCCGGGTGGGGGAGGGGTGGAGCTGGGGGGGCCTGGAAATGAGCAAGCGTGATTTGGGGCAGGGAGACCCTCAGGGGAGACACAGAGGGTGCTGGGGACTCTCTAAGAACCCCCCTTCATTCCCCATCAGCACGCCCCTCCGCCTTCACTACCACTCCTGTCCTCAGGAGCCACGCCCCGCGCAGGGTCAGCCAGAGACGACCACACCTGTAGCACAGCTGTACACAAGCCATTCCGTGTCTGCGCCAGATGTGGCCAGACGCTCTTGCATCTTGCATCTCGCATCTCAGTATCTCATAGCACACACAACCTCCCTGTCACCCAGCTGCTTCAACCACTGGCAACCGTCGCATGCAAAAGGTTTCCCTCCAGATGTCTGCGCACACGCGCATGCCTGCCCTCCACCCCCGGTAAACTCCAGCGCTCCGTTCCTCACCCCTCCACAAATCGCCCAGAGTCGGACATTCGCATCCAGCCCCCCTACCCAAAACCACACCACGGCCTCTTTGGAGACGGGTCGTCCCGCTCCTTCCTGCCCCTCGCGCCTGGGCAGCTCGCACGTCCTCCCTCCCAGCTCACCGGCTTGCGTGCCGCTCAGGAGCTGCAGCACGCCCAGGAGCAGGCAGAGGCTGGCCCGCGGCTGGCCCGGGCCCCGCCGGCTGCCCATCCCCGCGGCGCCCGTGCGCACGGCGGGGACCGTGGGCCGCTGCTGCAGGGCGCGGCGCCCGAGCGCACGGCGGGGACCGTGGGCCGCTGCTGCAGGGCGCGGCGCCCGTGCGCACGGCGGGGACCGAGCGGGCCGCTGCTGCAGGGTGCGGCGCCCGTGCGCACGGCGGGAACGGGCGGGCCGCTGCTGCAGGGCGCGGCGGCTCTCAATGGCTCGGGCGGCCGGCTGCGCTCGGTGTCCACGGGAGACTGTCGGAGACGCCGCCCGGGCCGCGCTCTGCGCTCCAGCTTTCGGTTGAGGCGGGGCGCGCTGGGCCGAGGGTGGCGACAGCCGGGGCGGGGAGGGCGCGGGGTGGGTAATTGCAGAAGTTTGTGCAGGGCGCTGATTGGCCGACGGGGGCGGAGCGCGGGGCGGGAGCCGGATCTATCCTGTCCCGCTCCACGGCGGAATGGTGCAGGGTCACTCCTTCCCAGTCCTAGCCTCCGGGGTCCCAGCCTGACCCCACACCCTTTCTTCCCGGCAGGCAACCTCAGAGGGGGTCCTCCGCGTCAGGCTCCATCCTCACCCCGGAGTCTGAGAAAGGCATAGCTTCAAACAGCGACCCAGCGCACCCCAAGCCTTGTCTCCTCCCGCCTCCAGTGGGGGAAGCGGGTCCGAATGGATGCCCCCAGCCTCATCCCAAACTCACATGCAATCCCATCCAATAGGAAAGGCAGGGCTTGCCCCTAAAATGCTGCCCAGAACGGAAGGACAGATTCCTCCCATTCCTGGGGTCCCCCAATCCCTCACCCCTCCCAGTACCCCCTCTCGCGCCAGGCAGCGCTTCAGTGCGCTGGCTCACTCGGACAGGCTAGGACAGGCAGGATATGAAGTTGGGAACTTCAAGGGCGGCTCCTGGGTCCTGCCCGGCCGCCGCAGGGCCCCCATGGGCAGTGCCCGCCTCCCAGCCTCTGGCCCTGCAGACAAAGAGTCTCTCTGTGTCCGAAGAGGAGTGGGTGGGGCCCTATCCGGCCTGAGAAAGAATGGGGGCCCTTCCCCCAACCCCATGGGGGTAGGTCCCCCTCCTCCTCTCCCAGGGATAACGGGAGGCTGGCCTGACAAGGCGCCCCTCAGGGCTCTCGCCCAGCCCTGCCTCGCCGGGAAGTCCTTCCTGGGGTCTAACCTGCCATCATCTAGCTATAGCCTGGACTCTGTCATCAACCAGAAGAGAGGCAAGGCGAGAATGAGCACACACACGCGCGACTCAAGGCTGATGGGGCAGGGCACGGAGGTTGAGACAACTCGTGGGACACCTGCGGTCCCCACTGGAGTGCATGGTTCGAGCCCTGGCCCTGGCGTCCACTAGTGCACTCTGTGGCTCACACGGGGACTGGGTCAGAGGTCCTGGCTTTCAGCTGGCCAGGCCCAGCCTTGGCTGTTACAAGCCTTTTAAGGAACCAATGGTGCAAGGCCTCTCTCTCCCTGCCTTTTCAATAAAGTGAAAGTAAACTTTAAAACTTAAAATCTGGGCCTGGCACGGTGACCTAGCAGCTAAAGTGCTCGCCTTGAACGCACCGGACCCTCATATGGGCACTGGTTCTAATCCCAGAGGCCCTGCTTCCCACCCAGCTCCCTGCTTGTGGCCTGGGAAAACAGTGGAGGACGGCCCACAGCCTTGGGAGACCTAGAGGAGGCTCCTGGCTCCTAGCTTCAGATTGGCACAACTCTGGCCATTGCAGTCACTTGGGGAGTGAATCATCAAACGGAAGATCTTCCTCTCTGTCTCTCTTACTCTCTGTATATCTGACTTTCCAATAAAAATAATAAATCTTTAAAAAAAAAAAACCCTTAAAATCTGAAAAATGACCCATTCCCCCACCCCGAGAAAAAACCCTCAGAAAACAGTCGCGAAGGGAGCAGGTGGAGAGGGGATGGAGGCTTTCACCCCCACATCCTCAGCTGCCTATTCCAGGTCAGCCGGCAGGGGAGGGCCCGGAGATCAGCCGAGAGCGGCTAAGGAGGGAGCACGAAGCCTGCTTGGGCAGCAGGGGTCAGGTGCAGCCGGCGAAGGTCATGTGTCCAGGGAGATCAACATGGCCTCTTCACCCCGAACGGTCCTGATCTCCGGCTGCTCCTCGGGCATCGGCCTGGAGCTGGCCGTGCAGCTGGCTCGTGACCCCAGGCGGCGCTACCACGGTAAGGGGCCGGGGCCATGAGGGCGCATGCCTCTCCCTCCGAGCAGTCATTTCTGGGCATCCGCTGGGGTGGTGCGACCAGGGGAGTGGTGGAGTGGGGAAGGAGAGAGACCGCAGAGAGAAGCAGATCCAAAGAAACAGAGCTATGTTACCGCCAACTGTGGGATACGTCGAGGGGTCTGAGGGATTGAGGCACCTACCGGAGACCAGGGATGGTGGAAGTCTCTCTCCGAAGCCTCTCTGAGGCTTCCCTTTATTGCCTTCTCGCTTGACCCTTCACCTACTTCTTTTTACCCCACACCCTCATTAGCGCATATTGGATACGGCTGAGACCAGGTGCTTCTAACCCACCGCCTATAGTGCTCGGCTTACCGAGTGCTAGTCAACTCCTTAGCCCACAACGAGCTACTTGCGGGATGAAGAGTTTTAAAAAGCAAAGAGACATGGAGGACAGTGTAGTAAGAAGAAAGTAAGCCGTGCCAGGGGGTGGACGAGCTGTGCCAGGGGGTGGGTGAGCTGTGCCAGGGGGTGGGCGAGCTGTGCCAGGGGGTGGGTGAGCTGTGCTGGGGGTGGGTGAGCCGTGGTAGGGGCAGGTGAGCCGTGGTAGGACAGATGAGCCGTGGTAGGGCAGGTGAGCCGTGGTAACGGGCGGCGAGCCACGACAGCAGACAAGCCAGCCGTGACTCCCACAAGGCTCTCCCAGGATGGAGACTTGGCTTCCCCACCGCGTACCCCTCCCGTTCCACCCCACCCCATCCCTCCCCCCACATTATCCCTGCTGCTCCGGGGATAAGCTTCTTAAGTCTCCTGACCTTGGGGGCCTCGAGAAGGTGCTTTCAACTTCTGGGTCCCGGCCCTGCTGCTGCAGTGGAGGAAAGCACCCAGGCACACAGACCCCTGACCTCGAGCAGGCCAGGGCCGGAGCGGGGTAAAGGGTTGCTACACAAGAGGAGCTGCCGGGGTCAGAGACTCGGCCCAATTGGCAGAGTCGCACTTTCCCGGCCTCTGCCCTCCATTTAAGAGATGTTGGAGTTTTTTGTTTGTTTGTTTGTTTTCTCCTCTCTCTTTTTAAAATATTCTTCATTTATTTGAAAGACAGAAAGAGGCTGAGGTCTCCCACTCCCCGATTCACTTCCCAAACACCCACAGCAGTCAGGGTTGGACCAGTCTGAAAGCGGGGGCCAGGAACCTGTCTGAACGGTGACAGAAGCTCAGATGCTCGGCCCCACCCTGCAGGCTCCCACGGTGTGCACCTGCAGGCAGCCGGACTCAGAAATGGAGCAGCCAGGGCAGGAATCCTACTATGGGATGGGGCGACATCTTCCTGGCCGTGCCACCCCCCTCCCCAGATGACACAGCTTTGTGTGTGCCCACCAGTGTCCCCGCGGGCACGGGAGGGAGGCAGAGGTCAGGGTGAGGTTTCTCGCGTCCACCACATGCCGGGAGCTGTTCCAAGTGTTTTCCGTGCAGTATGCTGTGACTCCTGTGACAGTCGGCACCACCGTAACTTTAGAAGTGAGGAGTCCGGGGGAGGTGGCAGCTGACGGTTCCAGGACTCAAGGCACTGGATTCATGTGGGGAACCTGGAGTTCTGGGCTTTGGGGGTGAGGGCGTTCGCGGAGTCAGAGGATGGAAGATCTCCCCCTCTCTCCCCTCTTCCCTCCCTCTTTTCCTTTCTAAGTCAACTGATGCACAGACTGGCAGAGAGCCCTGCCCGAAGTCACCCTATGAACTTGGCCACACGTGTCACTGCACTGCATGTTCTTGCCGGTGGCCCCGTTCATCTTCACACCTGCAGCTCACACAGGATCGCAAACCATGTGCAAATGCATATGTAAATGCCCTTTGGAGCTAAGAGTCCTGAACCAGCGTGCGCAGCTACAATTGTGTGTGTGTGTATGAACATGTGGGTGAAGCTGAACTTAACAGCCTGAGCTTAACACAGACCAAAGTTCAAATTTCTTTTTATTTTGGAAACATTTATTGGGTTTTGTTGGGAAGGCAGAGTCATAGAAGGAGAGAGAGAAAGATCTTCCATCCTCTGGCAACTGACATGCAAGTGGCCCCAAGTGGCTGCATGGCTGGTGTTCAGCTGATCTGACGCCAGGAGCCAGGAGCCTCTTCCAGGTCTCCCACGCGGGTGCAGGGTCCCTAGGCTTTGGCCTGTCCTCGACTGCTTTCCCAGGCCACAGGCAGGGAGCTGGATGGAAAGTGGAGCATTCAGGCCATGAACTGACACCCACATGGAATGCCAATGCTGGAGGGTTAGCGTGTTGGGCCACAACACCAGCCTGCAAATCTAACTCTTGTCAGAGGTGGCCGGGCCAGGAGTTCTACCTTGTTGAGCTTCACGGTAGGTATCTGCATAATGGGCATAGTTGGCCTCCTTGTCGTGCTGGCCCTGTCCCCTAGAGCCTCAGGACCTCCCCCTAGGACCTGTTGCTAAGTAACAACCTCAAACCTTATGGTGTGACGCCATTGCTGTCCTTCATGAACTCAGGTTGACAAACTGATGGAGGAATGGAGAAGAGAAAGATGGGTGAGAGTGTGGACAGAAGGGTGGTCGTGTAGACGGAGGGACAGATGGATGGATGAAGGGAGAATGGGTTTTTGGATAGATGGGTGGATGGACGGATAGACGGACGGTCAGGTGGGAGCATTGATTGACGGATGAGAGAGGACAGATGGGTGGGCAGGTGGACAGATACGAACGCCTTTGTGCACATTCGTGTGAGTTGTGAAGAGCCTAGTGCATTTGAAGGCCTCCAATCCTCCTGAACTGCTCATACAAAACCATCCCCAGGTGGGCAAGAGCCTGGCATCCAT